CTGGAAAATTTAAGGGGTAGTTATATAATAATTTTGGATGATCTCGGGCGGTCGGATACTTATGACCGCTACTGTATAAGTGAATTTTTAACAAATAAAATTTCTAATATTATTGAGCAGCTTGATAGTAATAAATTTGCTACAGTTGTTACAAATAATGTTTCTAATTGTCAAAATGCAAGACAGAATATTCAATAAATATATTCACATATATGGAATATACGTTATGCAGCTTATGTAATTAATCTAATTGCATCTGATTTGGTTAAACTTGAGGATATTAAAAAATTTATTATTAAATATGATAAAATTAATCAATATTTTAATACATCACATATCAATAATTCTTTTTTAAAACAAGGATTTATTAATATAAAAATTAAAGACAGTGGATTACAAAATTAGGTAAAAATATGTTAATGATCTTTATTTATAATAACAGATGCTTTATTAAGAGCTTGACTAGTATTTGATTAGGTAAGCAAAATTTAATATTAAAATTAATTAAATAAAAATAAAATTAATTTATTTAATTTTATTAATTTATTAAATCTTAAATGAACATTCAGAATCTATTACAAATCAGAATATTACTATTTTATTGAAAGATGAATCATTTTTTCTACATGTTAATTAATTCATTCTATATGAAAGCTAATAAAAGAATATAAACCTAACTTTAAATCCTAACCCTAAATCTGAACTTTAAACCTAATCCTAAATTTTAACTCTAACTCTACTCTAAAAAAATCATTGTTTATTTTTAGAGATCAATAATTAAAAGGTTTAAATAGAGATATTTGAAAATAAAAAAAAAGTAATATTTAAAAAAATAAGAGAAAGTAAAAATAATATTTAAAAAATAGAAGAAAAAATTTGAAAAAATTAAATGGTTAAAAAGAAAAGAAAAATGTGAAAATAAAATTCATATAAAATAGTTTAATTCTTAATAATTAATATCACAACTGTACCTGTCATCAGTATTATTATAGAACATTGATAAAATATTGATAGGACATAAATAGAACATAGATAGACAGATAAAACATTTGAAACATAGTATGAAACTGGTTGTGACATTTAGCTAGAATATATAGCTAAGTTAGTAAATCTCTAAAACATCAAAAATATACATCACTGTCTGTCATATGATTTATATTTTAAATTATTTATATATTAGATCTAGAAATCCAGAGTAATCCTTAATAATACATCACAAATTACATAACATACAGTATAATAGGAGAATATGTATATCTACTGGTAAATTTATTATATATTATTTAAAATATTTAAATGTAATTAAAACTGATTTTAATTAATAAATAAAATTGCCTGCAAATTTGTAAGCAAAACAATTAAAGGAATAAACTTTATCATTTAATAAACCATTAAAATAATAATATAAATTTTCTAATTAAATATAAAATTTTCAATTATTCAAAATACTAATTTATTTTTTTTTCGATTTATTAATTTCTATTTATAAAAATTAATTTTAATAAAATCTTATTAATGTTTTTTATAATTTATAATTTATAATAAGCAAAACGTATGTTATTAATTAATTAAAACGATTATTTCCTTGAACCAAAGGAATAACTTCTTGAGCTCTTTTAATAGCTTCTTGTGAAGGAATACTAATTTTACCACAAGATCTAATTAAAAAATTTAAAGATTTTAATATACCTTTATCTCTTGCATATTGAGTAATAATATTTAAATGATCATCATTCAGTCCACTATCTTTATATAAAAATATTTTTTTTATCGGACAATCACAATTTCTTAAGAAGGATTGCAAAGATTGTAAAGTAAAATCCCAATAAATTAAACCTAAATTTTGTAAAGTTTTTGGTAAAAATTTTCCAATTTCAGGAAATACTTCATCATCATATAAACCTTTACTTGATACATTATTTAATACAAGATGTTTTAATTGTGTTTGTCGCAATGGACGAAACAAATTTAGAATATTTGGATTTAATACTTTAATATCGAGATGTGACAAACTATAACAATGTGTTGCGATAGTTTCGAAAATGCTTGTTGATGATATTGTTACGCGTTCGTCTAAAGTTAATTGATTTAATGTGCCACTAGTATTACGTAATAAAGTGATAAGAGTACCCGTGGACATATCATTATCAGTCAAGTATAATTTTTTCAATCCGACAGGGGAATTAATTATTGTTTGAAAATTTTTCGAGTCAAGTCCATCACATTGATGAAGTGAAAGACCTTGTAAACAAGAATGTGAAATTAAATTAACTAAATTAAATAAAGTTGATTTATCGAATTTTGTTTTGGTAAATCCAATTTCCGTTAAAGAACCCATTTGTGTCTCTAAAGCAAAAATTAAAGGTTCTAAATTTAAATTCCAATAAGAAACAGTAAATTTCGAAAGATTTTGTTGAGACTTAATTAACGTGATTAATCCTTCTATTAACCTAGAACTTGTTTCGTGAAATTTGTAAATTTCTATATCACGTACTTGTGTGCATATTTGAGATAAACCAATTAAAATATTTGAAAGGTCATTTATATCGGTTTCCATGTAACGAGCTCCTGTGATTCTAATTTTTCGGAGACGTGAAAGTGAACTTTTAGCTCCGGGAAAAGAAGTAATATCCATTATTTGTGAAAAACAAAATGTTTTTGAAATATAAAGTTCATGAATTAAATTTGAATGTGAAATAATGAATTTTCCAAGTTCTTTTGTAATTAAATTAATTTTAATGTATTCATCAGATTTAATATTACCATCTCCATGCTGATAGTAGTCACAATACCATATATTAACGCAAGATGATAATTCGTTATAGTTAAATTTTCTCAAGTATTTAGCGTAACTAAATAAAGGTGATGATGATTCCGGTATAAAGATATCTAAATCTGTAAAGAAGGATTTCTGATCTTTAGTCATACACGAAATGTATGTTTGTATAAGGCGTAAAGATGATTTCCATTGTAAGCGACTAAATGGTCTACTCCATAATAATGGTACAACTTGACGACACCATGATCGATTTACCAAAAGACAATTAAATAAAGTTGATCTGTAATGTAAAAGATGTTTGAAAATTTGTTCGAGACATTCTAAAGGTATTTGCGTTGACATTTTATCCTGAATTTAAAGAATAGGATCTTTTTTTGAGCTATTTATTAAAAAAAAAAAAAAATTTGACGAAGATCTAATGATGTAATTTTTATTAATTATTACATAAGGTTATTCCTAATTCGTTTTTTTAAATAACTTCTTTTTACGGGGATTAATGTTCCCAAATTCGAAATTTTTGATCACGAGAATTAAAAAAATGAATCTATGACAATGGTGACCAAATAAATATAAGGTAATGAGCCTGAAAGACGTCATAAATAATTTCCTCCCGGAATGTCATCATAACTGTTGAAGTTTATCCTTTTTTAAATTATACTAATTACATACGGCATTCTCATTATATTATATATAAAGTTAAGAGAATTTTTTTGACGAACTTTACAATTTGAAAAATTATGTCGATCATTTGATCGACAAAATTTTATATGCTTTTTCGGGCCACTTTTTTGACTTTGCGTATAATACAACTGTGCGACATTGCTAATCTTTTTGAATTAAAAGTCTATTATATTCCTATTTTAATATGTAAAAGTATTATAAACAATTTAAATGTTGTTGATTTTGTCTGAAGTTGGAATTCAGACGATCTTCGAGCGTCTGAAATTGAGATTCCAATTTCAGACGCCCTTTTTGTTATCTGAATTCCAACTTCAGACAACTTATAAAAAACTATTTTAACCAATCACAATATGCAATTTTTTTTTTTTTTTTTTTTACAATTTCGTAAATAAGGTAACTTTATAATTTTATATTTTCAGACAGCTTTTGCGGCATTTATTTATTAAATTTTGCATAAATTTCCAATATTTTTTTTTTTTTTTTATTTTATCTTCATGCAGATTTTTCAACTATTTCAGATGCCGCATCAGTTAAATAAGTGATTTTATTCATTTTTGTTTTCATCTATTTTTTCAGGGGTTTTTTTCACACGATTTTATTCGCTTTCTCGAGTATTTCTATTTGATATTTTTTAAAACTTTGCGATACATTTATGGTACCGACTTCTCACTAAAAACGGAAGTAAACTGTTGATATATGCAGAATAAAAGCACCAGAATCTTGATATGTACCTCATTTGATTGTTCCCGTAACAATTCTTTTTCAATGCTTATAAAATGCTTTATTTCTTCTTCGTCCTCGGGCCCTATATCCGAGGAAGGCTTTTCACTATTGGTTCTCGATCTTCTCTGATTCTTGGTCTTCGAAATATTTTTCACCTCTTTTTGCGTATTCAATAAGCTGTTCGCAAAAAAACATTAGAATAATCTTTAATTTATCAAGTTTTGACTGCTATAAATAATCTGAACTTTTGATAGCTAAAATATTAATACTATACCTCATCTTCCACTTTCTCGTCCTGATTAATTGCATTCTTCGAATCCTTTCCATGCTCAGATATAAATAACGGATTATTGTCGGCATCTGTGGCTATCTCTCTCTCACTTAACTTCCGCTTCAAAGCTATTTTTCCGCATCACAGAAAAAGAATTAAATACATATACATAATGTAATGCAGACGAATTTGAATGTATTACCAGGTTGTATAGTCTCTCGTGTAGTGTTAGAAAGTGCTTCGCTAAAATCGGTCTGCAGGCCTAACACTTGGTGAATTATATTTTTTTGAATTTGTAACCGATGCCTTTCTTAAAGCTTCCGTGACAGTAGAACTATTGTTCCAAAACTCTCTTACTTCGGACGATTTTGCATCCTTCTATATATGTAGAAAAAAAGAATGGGTTGCCGTGATACCTTTAGACTCATCCAAAGATAAAAGTGCACCAAAAGACTCGTCTCTCAGGAATTCAGACTCATCCTAGCACTTTCGGCAATTAATGACGAGACTATAACGAAATGCATTCTCCAGACTCATCCAGAGAAGATTCGGACTCATCCTAGCCTTTGCTATAATCTCAAAACAAACAAACAAAAACAAAATTCCAAGTGTCAAATGAATTCATACAACTTGAGACTAGCTTTTGTACGAGTTCTCTGCTATAAGGCTTTAGTAATTGCGGTTTGAAACGAAGTTTCTCTAAACAAATTTTATATAAAAGGTATTCGTCTTTTCCCCGAAATTATTTATGAACACTAGGCTCCACTGTAAAAAATCGATCAAATTCCACTCTTTATTGTTTTCAAAATAAGGAAGCCTAGATTCCCAACGTGCATCTTCATAGGTAGCAGTCAATGTTTTACGATCAGTAGTTAGCTGACGTTCAACAAGCCACACACGCTCACGTGCAAAAAATAAATTAATGAATTATATTTTGACAAAGTATCTTACACGTGAGTTAATATATTAAGTCTATGACACTTTTTCGCATCAATTAAGCCCTGACTTCTCTCAAAGCTATAGGCCGAAAAGGACATTTCAAGGAAATTTGCGTTAGGGGTTTTGGCGGTAGTGGAGGAAGAGTCAATGAACGTGGCTCGTTAATCAAACTAGGTGTAAAGCTCTTGGTTTTCATAGGCTTGATTGGCATGATACTTTTGGGTTTAGTAAAATGAATTAATGAGTGATTAGCCTATATAAAAGTAGAAATAAAAATTTACTGTTTATTGAGAATCTGTAATTATAGATTCTAATCGCTCATTTTCATTTTTGATTCTTTTTAATGATATTCTATCTTACTAGATTTAGAGGGACCCCATCACGATCACTAGAACCCTTTTATTAAAAAATATATCAGAATTTTCAAGTAAAAATTTTTGGCCAATTTATTAATAGATCAAATGTTTGTAATGCGTGATTTAGTTAAATCACATGCCTAGAAATCTGAATGGATCAGGTTAGGTTGGATAATTTCGATAATTGACCAGGTTGGGTCACAGGTCACATCAAAAAAAATTAAAAACAGTTTTTCTGAGATATCTTAGTATTTAGTGATCGATAAATGACACTGGTTTCCAACAACTAGAAGAAAAAGTAACTATGAAAACACCTGAACTATATAATAAAAATACTTTAAACTCTTTAGAAAATAATGAAAAACTTGCTGATATTCATACTATCATTGAAGATAGCCTATTAGACCTAAAAAATACTGTATTACTACTATCAAATTTCAAATTTCTTAGATTGACCAAGTAAAAGATACAGTAAACAAACCTGACCAATTATATAATAAAGATACAAACAAAAATTTCTTTTAATATTATCACTTCTCTAATGCATTTTTTTGTATCAAATAATATTTGTAAATATTACAAGAAATCTATCACCAAAAAAAATTTCATTAATAGATTTTTTGTTAACTTTTCTAATTATTAGGATATATCATATAACTCTAAAAATAGAAAAAATTTTATTTACTTCTACTTCTTTGAGCAACTTACTCATACTGTCAACAAAGTATAAAAAATATAATACAACCCTATATTTTGATTAATAAAAAGAAAGTATATTAGAACCAATAAAATTCTTTTTTTGTTAAATCAGATATTATATAAAATATTTTTAATAACATACTATGATTATAAGATTCTTAATAATCATTAAAAACTCTTAGTAAATTACTTTTATTGTATATAAATTATCTGATAGTATTAAACTATTTTACAATATTATATAGATTAATTACTAGGAAAATCAAATTTCAGGAATTTTTTAAAAAATTGAGATTTTATTACATTTTAGTTTTTGATGTTATTAGATTAAAATAAATTAAGCTTTAATTTTAATCAAAAATTTTTTGGAACCTAATTTTTCTAGAATCCTCCTATTTAATTTTTATTCCTATTAGATTTATAGTCAGAATAGAGTTAACTAACTTAGACACAATCTAATCTGTATTAAGATAACAATTTAAACTGAAACTTATTAGTCTACTTTTAATACTACTTAAAGTGATCTTTTAAATCTATTAGTTACTATCAACATCAAAACATATAGGTTAATTGTTAGGAAAATCAGGTTCTAGGAATTTTTTAGCAAAATTGAGATTTTTATTGCATTTTAGTTTTTGATGTTATTAGATTAAAATGTATTAAACTCTTTATTTTAGTTAAAAATTTCTCAGAACCTGATTTTCCTAGAAATACTTTTATATTTTATTTCACATGATCTTTAATATAAAAATTATTCATATATATATATTAATTTTAATAATTAAGATGGCTATACTATTATTCTTAATTTTTATCATATTTAAATCTAATATTCTCTATTAGATGAGTAAATCTAACTACTCTATATTATTATTAAGATTATTAAATTATCGTATTTTATAAGATTTTATATAATTTATTGAATTTAATATATAACTTACCGGTAAGTTACATATCTTAAAAAAAATAAAAAAAAGTAATCAATGATTTCATATTAAAAAATTTTTCACAAAAATGTAACTTTTAATGTTATAAATGTGATATTTTTCATATTTTTTTATTATTTTTAATCACGTTACTTACTTTTATTGCTTTATTATATATTATGCTTCAATCAAAATGTGATTTTTAGTAAAGATATAATATACAACTTAATTTTTAAGAAAAGCAGCATTATAAATATAAAAAGTGTAGCAAATAGTAGATAAAAAATGCATTCTAATTGTTAAATTACTATAATGAATGTATATTACAGACTCCTTCAGCAAATTTAGTAGAAACACCTACTCCTTTACCTGAACAAACTTTTAAATAATAATAAATAGTTTTGTTATTAAAATGATAGCAGCTGATCAAAAGGAATTAGAAAGTTTACTTGCATATACAATTTATTCTACAGGTATTCCTTTTAATATTCTTGAAAATGAAGATATAAAAGCTTTTTTTATAAAAGCTTGTTCTTTTTTTAAATTACTTATTTGTCAAAGTATTTCAACTATTCTTCTTGATTAAGAATTTAAGAATATTAAGATTATTACAAATCATTTACTTAATGAAACATAATATTTTTGTCTTATAACCAATAGATGGTCTAATATTAATAAAAATCTTATTATCAATTATATGATTATTACACTGAAACTTATTTTTTATAAGTCAGTTCCTACTAAAGAAAAATATCATTATGCAGAAAATATAGTACAGGGTATAAAATTTATAATAGAACAAGTAAGCATTGACAAATTTGCTGCTATTATTACTAACAATGCTTCTAATATGAAAGTCACATAGAAGATTCTTAAAACTAAATATTTTAATAAAGTTTTTTTTGGTTGTTAGACTCATAGTATTAATTTTTGAATAAAAGATATTTTAAAAATTAATTAGGCTAAATCAATTTTTTAAAAAAAAAAGAAGTTATACAATATTTTCATAATCATCAAATTCTTTTAGCAATACTTTGTCAGTTTCAATAAGAAAAATATAGACATGTAATTACTTTAGTATTAATTATTTAATACATGATGAAGATTAGCTTTTTATTATATTGATCATATTCTTTAAATGAAAGTAGCTTTGTGATCTATTTTAGCTAAAGAAATAGAAATTAATAAAGATATTGCACTTAATCTTAATAGTGAAAGTTTTTGAAAAAATTTAAAAGATTTACATAATTTATTAAAACCTTTTGTTAACTTTATTAATTAACTTGAAAGTGATAAATTATTTCTTTTATTAGCATTTGTTAAATTATGAGAATTGGAATATGAAGTTAAAAATAATATAACTATTCTAAAATAAGTTCAAGTTGATGTGATTAATCTTAGTAAAATACATTAGAAAGACTTTATATATAATTCTGCAATTATAGTTGCATATAAATTAGATTCATGATATAAAGGTAGAATTCTTGATATATAACAATAGGATAATGTTATTGAAGAAGAAATTATTAGACTTACAAGAGAAGAAAATGCTAGTCAAGTATTAATGAATTAGCAGAATTTGTTAGTTAAATAAACAGATTTGCAAAAAGACATTTGTGAAATGATATAAAAAAAAAACCAATAAATTAATAAAATTTATTAAAGACATAATATTCAATATTAAGTCAAGTGGCTCTTAAAATTATTTTAATATTTGCAACCTCAGCTGCTAGTGAGTAAAATTGATCAACTTTTAGTTTTATTTATACTAAATTATATAATTAATTGTATAATAAAAGAATAGAAAAAATAGTATTTATATATTAAAATCTTAAAATTTTATAAAAATTACAATGGCTATTGTCAGTTAAAGAATTTGAAAAAATATATTAAAATAGAAATCAATAATAATTTAAATAATACAATATTAATAAATGATTTAGAAGCACATAATTTGGAGAATTCATTTTTATTTGATTATAAAAAAGCAGATTTTAATGAATAGTATATTATATTAATTATACATCTTATATTTTATAATAAATAATATATTTATTTCGTATATTGTACTAATTTTAAATTTAAAATTTGATCAGATTTATCTAAATTTTGGCCTATATTATATATATAATAAATGTAACTTATCACAGTCAAATATAATTTATATATAACTTACATTATAACTTATTATTGTAATGTAACTTATAATAACCCTAATTATTGTAAATGTAACAATATAATCATGTTATATATATCTATATAGAGGCTGCTATTTTAGTAAATATAGTCTACTTTACCTAAATTTGACTCTGAGATCTGCTTAAATAATATTCTATATAGACTTAATTATTAAAGTTGGATAGAGGATTCACTTTAGCTATAATGATTGATAATTACTATCTTTACCAATCTAATTTATAAGATTTACCTTATTGATAACTACTGAGACTGTAAGATTAGATTCTTTCTATAGATAGTGACATGATATCTATAGTATCAAAGTCATTTAGAAATTAAACCTAACTTTTAACCCACTAATAATGTAATTTAGTCTAAATTTATAATATATAATACAGTCTATTATATCTAGAATACTTCAAATTTACTAATTATTAATTAATCACTTCTTTACTTGTATAAAAGTTTCTAAGTTTGAAAATGTGAGATAATATCTATTAAAAATCTATTAGTGAAGACTAAGTTTCTATTAATCCCTAGTTTTATTTATATTCACATATTTTTTAAGACCTAGTATTTAGGTATGATCAATATTAATTGACAGGTCAATTGACCAATTACTAATGTATATTAGTTTATATATTCACATATTCAGTTATAATGAAATTATTATGAAAATCATCCAGTTTTATACCTCAGTTAAAGCCTAAACTTATGAATATTATAGTATAATCACAATAGGGGCTCAATTATTACTAACTAAACTAGTAATACCAATTTCTATATTTACTTATTATATTAATATTTTTTTATAGAATAAGTAAAATTTTATTTGTTCTAAATATTATTTATATATTTTATTAAAAAAACTAATACTTTATTGAACTATCTTCAGCTACTATATATGCTTGATTTAACAAAACATATTTTCAACCAAATTTTAATATAATCAAGTAAAATTAAACATCAAGCATTTTTACCTTATGTTCAAAATCTTATAAGTTTTTAGGTTGATTAAACAAATTACGCATTTTTTTATCAATTTTATTTCA